GAGGTCTAGAAAAGAAGTAAGAAAAAGAAACCGGTAAAGGAAAAGGCTAGGGAGGATATGATCCCAAAATCAGTAGCCAAGCCATCGAAGGCCGCTGAGAGAAGAAGTCAATCCGGGAGACAGGTAGTGTTTTCGTCGAGTTGAGAGACACCACGTCTAACTGCCACGAGGCGTTCGCCGACGCGCTTAGAAACGCTGTGGCGAGTGCTGGTGACGTGAGGACCCGTTCCCCGTACTTGACATACGAGATTAGAGATGTTGACCATACGGTGACGGAGCAAAATGTGCAGGCTGTACTTAGAAGCTCTTTTGAGGGAGAGACGGCCCCTGTCTTGGCAGTGCGGCTGTCATCTAGCACTTTCAGGGGAAATTGGGTAGCCTACGTTAATGCACCTGCGACGGTGGCTACGATCCTCAATAAGATGCATCACATAAGGCTGGGCGGGGTGAATTGCAGGATGCGGCCTAAGTACAATGCTGAGCACTGCTTCAAGTTCCTGGGCTTTGGCCACATTGCTGGGCAGTGTGGCGGCCCTGACAGGACCAGGGCGTGCTAGAGGTGTGGTAAAAGGGGCCACGTAGTACGTAACTGCTCCAAAAAGAAATGAGCTATTGCCTGTGTGAATGCGTCGTCCCGAAACCAGACACCGGACACGTTGCTGGGACTGTCAGGTGTCAAGCGCTGCGGGCGTTTGCAGGAGGAGCTCAGCGAAAATGGTGGTGATCCTGCAAGTAAACCTTGATAGGACCGTGCTTCCGCATAATCTGCTGGACAAATTCTCCTGCACCCGGGATGTGGACTTGCTCTTCATAAATGAGCCGTCCCGCACGTTATTGGGTTGGGGCTGGTACTGCGACAGGACTGGATGCACGGCCGTCCTGGTTTGCAGCAACAAGTTCCTTGTATCCGATTCTGGAGACATGGACGGTTTCGTGTGGATTAGGAGTGGAAGTGTATTATATGTGAGTTGCTACATTTCCCCTAACATATCGATCGGCGTCTTTAGAGGGCGGTTTGCCGAGCTCAAGGATGCTATTCGTGTGTGCAGGGAAAATAGTGACATAGTCCTGGCCGGTGACTTCAACTCCAAGGCCATTATTTGGGGGAAGCTAAAAACCAACTCCAGGGGGTGGGCAGTGCTAGAGATGGCTGTAAGGCTAGATCTCATCGTCATGAACTCTGGTAGTTCAGCAACGTTCAGGCGAACTAGAAACCAGGGTACGATCAACCACCTTACACCAGCGTCGGCACAAATTGCAGCACGGGTGTTTGACTGGCAGGTTCTGAAGGACTATACGGCTAGTTATTACCAATATATTAGCTTTATAATTAATAAGGAACATGGTGCAAACTTGTGAGGAGTGCCTTGAGGGCGTGTAGTTGGGTGAAACGTGGCAAAGCTCAATCGAGATTTGTTACGGGAAGCCATAACAAGGGCGCCCCCTCCCACCGATTTATCCAAGATCACCAATTTGGCGGAAGTCGAGGCTCTTATAGGAGGTACCAGGAGACGTGTCAAGGAGTGGTGTGACACGTGTATGCCCAAAAGAACCGCTAGGCAGAGCCGGCGCTCGTGCTACTAGTGGACCAAAGAAATTGCCAACCTGCGTGGGGAGGCACAGCGCCTATGCCGTCTTGCAGAGCGACACAGAAATCGCGAAGACGCGGAGATGGCTTTTGCCACGTACAGGAAAGCAAAATTCTCTTGTTGCGAAAGATCAAGGTGAGCGAGAACCGATGCTGGCGTGAACTCATTGCTGATGTAGAGAAAGATTCGTGGGGCCTGGGTTACCGAATCGTGCTAGAAAGACTGCATGGCTCGGACTCAGTGGCGCCGATGGAGCTTTCCTTCTTGGAGAGGGTGGTCTCTTGTCTCTTTCCGGAGCATTCTCAAGGGAGGCGGGAGGACATAAGTATGTGCGAGGTGCCTCTCTTTACCCTCGAGGAATTGAGGTAGGTTTTGCTGATGACATAGCACTGCACGTCACAGCGAGATCTCGAGGCCGAGCGCAAGATTTGGTGGACGGTCGCGATAGTGTCGGAGTGGCTAAGGGATCACGATTTTGTACTGCGATCAACAAGACGGAGATGTTCGTCCTTACCAGACAAAGGTGGTTTGGGTGGGACTTATGCCTGAACATTGCGGGTGAGGCAATCTGCGCAAGTCTGGTTGTGCGCTACCTGGCGGTGTGGGTCGACTCAGGGCTCACCTTCTGGGAGCACATCAAGAGAGCAGCTGACAAAGCCGCCAAGATTTCGGGAGCGCTAACACGGCTAATGCCGAACGTTGGGGGCCCACGAGAGGCCAAAGGACGGCTTCTGGCATCGGTCTCTAACTCGATAATGCTGTACGGCACGGAAGTGTGGGCGGATGCAGTTGTGAGGCGGGACGTCCGAGAGCGCCTCATTTCGGTGCAGTGCGTCGGATCTCTAAGGATCGCTTCCACCTACCGCACGGCTTCCTCTGCTGCTGTTATGGTGATAGCACGAACGATCCCCTTCGCTTTGCTTGCACTGGAGCAGTAAAGAAAATTCCGGGGCTCCGGTGACGAAAGTTATGGTGATAGGCGGGCAAAAACGGTGACAACACGGCAACAGGAGTGGGATCAGGCTAGTGTGGGTAGATGGACGCACTGGCTGATCCCGAACCTGCGAGCATGGGTGGAGAGATAGGGCACGGAGAGGTAAATTATTACCTCACTCAGTTCCTCTCTGGGCATGGTAAGTTTGATGCCTATCTCCATCGCGTGGCGGTAAAAGCATCCCTCAGATTTGCTTACTGCCCTGCGGTGGTTGATACCGTCGTACACACGTTTTTCGTGAGTGAGAGATGGCACCGTGAGCGCCAGCAACTTGTGGACAAGCTCGGCGTGACACACACTCCTGAAAAAATCATCCCTGAGATGCTTTGCGCCGAAGAGAGATGGAGGGCGGTGGACTGTTACGTCGGGTCAGTGGTCCGTTGCAAGAAGAAAGAGGAAAAAGCCGCGGCGCGGGACACCAAGGCTGCCCTTTAGGCATCAGCATGGGAAAGCAACAAATGTTGTTGCGCTAGAGAATGTGTGCCAATCTTCAGGGACCCCGACTCCTTTTGAGGACTCGAAAGGACTGGCACCTCCAGCAAATAGTGGTGAGTCAGCTTATTCATGCTGTGAGACGCGATGGTCTCCCTAGTGGCTCCACCCTGAAGTAATGCTAACGTGGTTCTGAGGTGGAACTAAAGCCACGCGGCATGGGGAGGAGGGTTTAGTGGGTATGGGTGGTCTAATAAAAAAAATTTACTGAGTCACACACTACCGCTGTCCCTGTGGTGTGCCTCAATACATTTCCTCTTCCTCCACAAAAAAAAAAAAAACTACTACTACTTGTAAGAGAATCACTACTGTTTTAATTATCTCAAAAAAGTAAGTACGTGGAAGAAACAAAAATTATATATGATTGTTAAATAAAAAATATAAGTAATTTTGTTACTAACCATCATCTAACGTATTTATGTACAGTGACGGTGACTCTGATCTGCACTAAAAGTTAACAAGAATTACGATCAATCATTATTTGAATAAAATTTAACATAATCTCTATTTACCTTCTTCTCTTGAAGCTCCATTGGAACATTGGACTATGAGCTTATGTCAAGACGTATCGTCATGCATACGTCTCAGTACTACAACAAGTACTGTGGTGTGAAAAAAGTACATCAATAACGACTTATTCGGGTAAACATGAGAAACCTACAAAAACATTGTATGAAATCTTTTGCCAGTAGGTTCTTATTATGAACTTTTCGTTTGACTACTTCTTACTGCTTTACAAATCACTGAGTTGTTCAAAAGTCCACGGTTAAACGCATCACAAATCGTTCTTATCGGACAATGTAGTACAAGAAAGTACTACTTGTTAACTAATAGATTAATACATAGCCTAAATCGTTATTCCTCTCACTACCACACATTGTACAAATGTGCGATTCGTTAACATTTACAACACTTAATAAAGACCTAATAACACTTATTAAACGCGTTTTGATAAAATCATTCATAATAATGAATATTATACGAAGACAAAAAGAAATACTCTGGACTAGTGGCTCTTATAGTATTGTATTAATAGCAAGTCTGTATAACAAATAAAATATCAACTGACAGTTGTTTTTTACACTTTATATATTCAATTAAAAAAAAAAAATTTAGATTTTGTATTCCATACGAATAGTCAAATACCTTAAATGGCAATTTTACACAGTGTCTGTCATACTCTCACACACATGCGTGTACGTAACATGAGACTTTTGAAGGGAATTCTACATCATACGATATTTACTAAAGAGAAAACAACGACTTTTGCAATTTTTTATGTTTCATTCGAACAATCGAATGTCTTACGTAATGGAATGGTCCATCTCTGCGAAAAAAAGGTTTCTTATTACTTTTATCCATGTGTACTTGCACAGTGTACACTTTACAGACGTATGCACATGCACACGCGCGTACTTAACTTTAGGCGCTTGGAACCTTTGACAGACTGTTTCGATAAAAAAACCTTGTACGAAAGGAACATTATTAAAAGAAAAATACAATTTTTGCAATTTTTGCATTTCATATCTCACAATAGAATACTGTTCTATAATGAGTTTAACGGAAATATTGTATGTTACGAGAAACCACATTTACAGAGAAGATCGACAATAGTATTCATTTCTGCACAAAAGACTTAACAAGCTGATTTACAATTTTTTGATTTTTACAGTGTGATTGCCACTCTTTTTGTGAAGATTCCTTCTTTTACGTCTCACGTCGTTTTTGCACAGTGGGTATTATACTTACGTAAAGGTGTTTGTATGGAGCCTTTTACACATTTTTAACTGTCGTTGTGTTTAACGGAAGACAAATGTATGCAGTGACATAAAAAAAGTATATCATATAAAGTGACAAATTTTCATACTTGTATTACAAACAAACTGTGCTGACTATAAAACCTTATATTACTACTCATTAGTACAATGTGTACCACTAAGTTAGTTGACAACATGCTTCTGGAGGATACGGAACCTTCGGAAGATAAAACAATTCCAGATAGTAATGTTATGATTGTGAGTGCATGCCAACCCCAGCCTAATTCGAATTTTCAGGAAATTTTATAAGCAGGTCGCAAAGGAGTTTATCCATTACCTAATTTTCCGGGAGCTTATGTTATTATTAAAGTTTTGTTATACCGAAGTTATTTTGAAATATATCAATCAAGTATAGTTAATTTTGACATTGTGGCGAGGGATCTCAGATCTGTGAATCCACAATGGCTCCCTCGAAAAACATTTTGTTGGGCCCTACATAATCGAGATGCAGTGCGTGCAGTGATCTATTTTACTAAAAATAGATGTGTCTTAATAAATTATCGTTTTCTAAAAAAACATGAACGATTAGTTAAATGGCGATACATTTTTTAAAAACTATGAATTAAAAGGGTTTTTTTTCATAACCTTAAAAAAAAATTATTATTTGATAAAAACATTTTTATTTCATTACATTTTAAATGAAGGCAAGTTAACTAAGTTTATGAAAAAAGTGATAATAAGTGGGACAATACAATTAACATTTTTGTTCATAGTGGTAAGTGGAATTACTGACAGTGAATGTGAGTAAAATACAGTTATTTTATTGAAAACTTATAAAAATCGTATCATTGCAAACGGAAATAATCAATTTGTAATTTACAGTGACTTTGATTATGTGGAATTTTTAAATAATGTGTTGCATGATAATCAAAATGATTAAACTACATTTGTAATTTCCGTCAGTAGAGAAATACCTGACAATAGTTAAAAGTATACTAGTGGCAGGAACAGTAAGAATAATTATCAAGAATTCACTAATACTTACTATGACTGTGAAATATGTAAACAAAAATAAGTTTCAGTTACATATGGACGTTTATACAAAACAAGAGTTAGTCATAGTGATAAGTGTGTATGCTGTAATAATTTTTTAGAGAAAAAACAAAAAAGATGAATATGTCTGAGGATTCTATTAAAACCTTAATGGTCAGTTGTGCCAAAACTGCCAATCCAAGTCAATTATACATTAAGAACGTGTTTTCAACTATTACTAATACAATCATACACATACACAGTGAGGGCTCAGGCAACTGTAGCACTGGATTAGTAACAAAAAACAAGGAGGGGAAATGTACGGTGGCCTGCCTGAAAAATCTCTTTAGTTCAAATACTTACAGGAGGAGATTATCCCTTCTCAAGTTCGTACATGGTAGCTCAGTGGCTCTGGCCAGATACTCTCATTAGGTAGTAAGAATTTTTTGTGACAGGCCACGGTGTTGCTATAACTACTACGGTATCAAAATGTTTATTAGACAAATATCAGCTGTTAAAAAACCCCTACATTGTTCATATAAACTACGCAGAAAGTTCTTACTACAGCTTATTCCTACAATATAGGCCATACCACAAAAAAATGTTATTGGCAAAGGAGTTTAATACATTCAGAGAAGCCTTTATTGCATGTAAATCACATCTAAGTCAAGTCAGTGTTCACTTTGAGTGACATAGAGAAAGAGACAAGCATTGTAAAAACATATTTAATCAAGCATACGCATTTAACACTCTTTATTAACAGCCCTCTTTTTTCAGTATAGAAAAAAATTAAGATGTATTCGACCAACAAAAAAAAACGATACGTTATTCCAGGTAGGAAAACGATCTATACATGTGATTTTAATAACCGTGTGAAGCTTATTATAACTTGTTATGCTAGTATTAAAAGAACTTTAACACTAAATAACTTAACGCTAAATATGCTAAAGAATTATACTGATGGTATATATGCTAGAAAAGCTATAAAAGTATGTGCACTTACTGGTATTGCAGCAAGACTAGAAAACGGTTGAACATTACACAGATTACTAAAGTAACTAGTACAGAAAGATGAAATAATTACACAAATGCTATTTTTACTAGTAATTACCTCAGAATGATGCGCTTGTAGTATACAGAATATAAATTTCTATTTATCGATGAAGTATTAACGGTACCCTACGAAACGTTGTGTACGATAGATTCACACTTAAAACAACTTAGAAACTGTGACAAGCTTATAAGTGGTATAAATATTGTATTATTTTCAAATATATTGCAGTCCTTAGCTTATAGAAATATGAAGTCTTTAATCAACTACTCAGACTGTTACCAGCACTAAATTTAAAGCGTATATTTACACAAGTTAAACTTTAACAGAATACGGAACAAAGTGGAGACAGCAGTTTTATTGTCAGTTAAAAATCTCTCAGTGATAGAGAACTACAAACAAGTTTCATCGTGGCATTGTTAGATCATGTTTAGAGCTACAACACTAGCAAACTCTCAATTACAAAGGAACTACGGATATTGTATATCCAACGAATAGTTAAATATGTGCTCAAACAAAGTTCATTTTATCATTTTCGATCAAAGGGGACAAAAATGTATGAGATGATTTGACAAAATTAGCTTGTTAATGTAACACGTAATGTTGATCCAAGTAGAGTAATACCAGTTGATTTCAATGAAACTACAAATCTACCTAAAAAGTTGCTGATCTTTGTTGGTGCTAGAATAATGCTGTGATCAAATGTTGATCATGGAATAGGCCTAGTAACAGAACAATTCTCAGCTTGAATAAGCTACAGTACAATTAAACGTAGAATGTTTCCTGTTATAGTGCCTTGGGCTTCTACTGTTCAGAAAATGCTAGGTCGCACAGTAGATCATAATATAGTATATATCTGTGATCCGAGATATGTGAAACTTATCCAGTATGTTGCACTAAGTCACACGATATAATTAAAAGACTTAGAAATAGCAGAACTAGACTAAATAAAACTAACCGGTAAGATGCCCTGCAATAATGAAAAGCTAAAACAAAGCAACAGAATGTTGATTATAGATGAGTCTTGAATTATAATAATAATGCTGGCAATAACGTAAAGCTTCCATTTTATAATACTGAACTGTACTACAAAACTTAATGTACTAAAGTAACAAGTTGATGTCATAATCTTTTACAAAACTGTATTTTTCATCTGTCATATGAATCCCGGAAGTAAAAAAAAAATTATAATAAATATAACCAGTTTTCAATGAGGAAAATAATGAGTATTTATAATATTTCTCATCAGAAAACTTATTTTGTGCTTGGTAGAAAGTTTTTATAAGATTATAGGTCTTAAAAAATATATATTTATTTAGAAATAAATAATATGTAAAGTGCTTCTCTACCATTATTTTCATGCAAGTAGCATGTTTATATTTATAAAAGAAAGTTGGTAAATGTTACCCAATGACTTTTAAGAATTATAAGCCCAAATCACAATAAAAAGAGCTTGTTTATAACAATATACAGGCTAGGGTAACAAATTTATAAAAGTGTATTACATCTTAAAATAAAGAAAAAATTAAAAAATAATTTTAGAAAAACAATTTAAATGAAAAAAGCTTTTCTTTAGCACATGTTAGCAATAAACATCCAAACATGTAGCTTAACACTTGACTTAAAAGTATGAAATAATATTTTAAGAACTCGTGTGTACATACAAGTAAAAGCATGGGCCACTCAAATTTTAAGTGCTTAAGATCTTTTAAAAAATTTGCTAATGAAAGCAATAAAAACAATTATTACTTAAGCAAACAGCTTATAGAGAACGTTAGAATGTATTCACTTTAATTTACGTCAATAGTATTTTATCAACAACCATGGTATTAACTACATACCAAAGTCTTAAGATACTTTACAGTTATCAAACAATACTAACATTACAATGATTTAATACAATTGTTTGTCGATTAATTAGCCATCAAATTAATTAATAAAAAAATATATAAATTCAAAAAATGAATTAAAGTAAAGTTCAATTACGGCCAACGATTAATCAAGGCTCAAACAAGTGTTTGATTATAATTTTAAACTCTTAAGTGCAATGAGTAACTGCATGTTGAATTTTTGAATTGTTTACATTAACGTAATAAAGACTTTGAAAATTTTTTTTTTTTTATTACTTATTTTTTACCTTTTCCGTCAATAGTAACATTAAATCAAATAATACTTTTTTACTTGGATGAAGATCATATGTATTTTAACTAAATAATACTAAAAAATTATGCAATATCTTATCACTTTTTTGTTAACAAACGTAAGTTCGTTAAAAAAAAAGAAATATGTATATAAACTTTAGTTAACAACCTTAAATATGAGAATAGAGGACTGTCACTGATACATGCACGCGGACTTTAAAAAAAAGTAAAATATTTATGTAAAATCAAGAAATGTTTTAGTAGATGTATTTATCTAGCTTTATCTTACTTCGTTCATTGTATACAAAACTATTTTGTTAACACATTAAGACAGATAAGAAAATAAATTTACTTGTCTCCTGACTAATATTTCAGATATACATAAAACAAATAATCGTTTTGCTAGTACTTATGAATATACGCAAATAGAAAACTACAATAAGAAAATGTTTACTTTGTATAGTTTGGAAATTTTTACAGTACCAATACTTTTGTAAAAAATATGACAAATGTTTCCCTGCCTGAGTTTGCCATTTTCACTTCTAAATAAAGAGCAAAATTTAATATTTTATTTTTTCTGGATGAAATGCGTGCATGTGATTTGTCATCAGCATTAGCCATTCAGATCATACAATGCCTGTTAATAGGTTCCTAGTGATCCTGCTTTTCAGTGAGTGCAGAGTGTATCTAACTCTTTACCTGTATGTTGAGGTTCTTAGGCATGGTCAGCCTTTGTACCTGGTGAATCGTCTAAGGTAAGAGTACCAGTTACTGGCTACTTAGTGGATGTTATCAAAAAAACATCATATATCTTAAACAGCTTCTTAAATTTTAACTTTGGTTAGGTATAATTTGGAAGCTATGAATCTATTTTAAACTATACGATAAATAGAAGTCGTAAGTCTGACTGTAGACAATAATTATTTATAATTATCTGAGTATGTCAGATGCTTGAGTACATGGCTACAGCAAAAAACATTGCTTTAGTGGCTTACATTTAGGAGCCAGTAACTGACCGCCCCATGCTAAGCCCG